AGGGGAAGGTGAGCGAGGAAGGGGACAAGAGCTAATTTTCCCCAGTAACAAGATGGCATCTGAAGCTTGATGGGAGAGCAGAACTGGAGAGGCTTGAGGGAAGGGTCCAGGCCCTGTATTCAGTCAGAGTCACTGCTGGAAGAGGAGGAGGAGGAGGAGGAATGCTGTAATGGGAAAGGGGAAAGGAGACAGCATCAGATCCAATGACCATTGATCACTCCATGGGACATTCTTTGGTGCTCTACCCCTCCACCCAGCACCCCCTTGCTTCCTAAGAAGGTCAGCAGTTTTGAAACAGACTGTCTCTTAAACAGCAAAAGCAAACATTTCTTTCAGCAGTGAACATATAATAATGGATTAAACCTTCCTAAATCATTGCACAGAACTTAATATTGCATTTGGAGCATATTTCCAACTTTCTTTACCTGACTCAATGCCTTGGCAAGGAATAAATACAGGCACTAGCATAGCATAGTGCTAAGAGACAGCTGCTACTTTACAAATGCTTACTGATTGGTCACATGGAAAGTTCTTGTAGCTATGATTCTAAGACAAGTGAGTAGAAACAGCAGCTGTGTGCCCAACTATCTTTTCTTTTTCCTAAGCCCCAAATGGGAGAAAGTGAGGAAGGTGGGAGAGAAGGTGGAGAGAGTACTAGTCAAGATTCTTTACATGTGTACTCCCATCAACTGTCATCAAAAACACTTTTGAGTCTCTCTGGGGTAATTTTTCCCCCCAGTTCAATCTCATCTTTCCTTGTCCTCAAGCTTCCACCAAAGACCTAGATCCAGGAGGTAGTGCCCAAAGCCCCAAGGCAAATAAATAAACACTAGGCAGAAAAAGGTAAGGCCTCCTCAAGATCCAGGTTGGTTTTGTCCTTCCAGAGTTGTCCTGAGAGCTATTTGCTGCTTAACACTCTTCTAGAAGGAAGATACTTCACCTTGGGGCTGTGCACGAAATTTTTATCTGAGGCTGAGAGTCACTGAGAGTCCTGCTGGGTGGTAGGACAAAAAGGCCCATGTAATTAGCACAACACCTTGTGAACACTGAAGGTGGGTGTATCTAAGTTGCTAAAAGCATCTGGGGTGGGGTGGGGTGG